AAAAAATCCATCTGGAATTTTGATGGGCATGTTTTGAAGGAAAAGGCCTTAAAACCACAATGCAGAGATGTCTCGAAACAAAGGTCTCTGTGGTTTTGTCTGTTTCTCGTGGTCGACAACAGCCTGACAGTCTCTGGGCTAAGATAGCTCATGTCTGTAATTTTAGTTTATGCCATCATTATTACAACACGTTGACCATTTTTCATGCAGTTTCTTTGGAATAAACTAAATTGATGGTTTATGTGTTCTTTTGAGAAACTGTACAGAGTTTATAAAATTCAAAGAGAAGAGAAAGGGGTTGCTCAGTGACTTTGACGAGGCGGCGGAGAGCTGTTTGCAGCATTTAAATAAATCTTTCCTGATGACATCTAAGTCGTGTCATTAATAAACGGGTATGGTCAAAATCTAAGACCAGATTGGCCTTGTAAAAATAACAATAAAAAACATCACCTCCGTTGCTACATTTGCACAATGTTGTACTTTAGTGCAAGTATAAAAAAGTGGATCGCATTTAATTCATTGACATTTGTCATAAAACTTAATGGAGAATTGAAAAGATAAGTTCTGTTGATGTTGAATGGTCAGATGAGGAGAATCAAACACTATCACATTTACCTAGTTATTAGCTCTTGAAATTAAGTGGATTTCAGCTTCAAAGAAAGCTAGAGGCAAGTACCGTTGGCACCGGTGACATTTAATGTTGTTATCTGTCAGTGAAACTTAGAAGAAAAGGCCCACAACTATTTAAATGTGAAGCAGTAACACAAAAGGCGTATCACGATGTGGTGAATGATTTAAATTCAAAGTATGGGATGGAAAAACATTCCATAATTTCATTGTACTGAATTAACTACTTCCAAAGCTCCCTACAGTTCAATTCCACTACTTTCATTCCATTACTACAAGTTGTACGACCAAAAGAAATGGCAAGAAAGTGATTTAAATTCAAATTATGGGATAGAAAAAAAAAAAATCACTATCACTGAACAACCATATAGTTCAATGTCACCTTTATAATAACATTTCTACAAAAACATATTGTAAACTTGTAACACTGTCTAACTAGTAAACAGAAATGTATTATGCAATATTTTGGTACTAGACCTTCATCAGGCAAACATTTTGTGACAATGAAAAGCCATCTTTAATAGGGAGTGGCCACAGGCTATATATATCTTACAATAACCATAATCAACAGTGCTTTTGTCAAAACAGGACAGCATTCACTTGACCAAGCAGATCACCCTGGCTGCAGGTCACATATGTGAACAGATATAACATAGCATGTGGAAACAACAAAGCATATAGAAAGTTACAAAAAGAAATAATTATAAAGATATAAACAACCCCATTTCTGCTCCAAATCAGAATCCTCCACCATGTCAACTTCAAATGTAGATACAGCTAAACTCAAAAAAGGGCATAAAAAGACCTGTGGCATCAGTGTACACATACAGAATGGACACAATGACAGGTCCCATTTGTACCTAAGTGTACATATAGGCATCCAAATACAAAACAATCCTCCTGTAGGTGTAAGTGAGGAGTTCTATCTCTATAGGCTCATCACTTCAGCAGTGTCATGTTGCCACCAGAGGGAGTCTTCTTCGTCAAACAACATCTCCCTGAGGATCTGTATTCTCAACATCTGCTCAAAATCCACTTCATCCGGACTCAAGACCCCCCAAGTAATTGGACTATTAATATTGTGTTTGTGTCCTTTTATTCATGCAATGCACTGTTAATCAAAGTGGCTGACAGAGCCCCCCTTACACATGACGCCACATCATTATTATTCGTCATTATCCGTCATGCAATAGTCATTTTTTAATTCTCACAGCTGGAAAGTCATTCCTCGTCTGTTTGGCTTTATTGGCCTTACTGTTGTGGTGCAGCCCATCCGGGGAACCCCCCAACTGGTGAGGCAAATACCCACTGTTGTAAGCAACAAACACCAGCCTAGGCTGGAACGAGGACATATAAAAAGGCCATTTCACTCGGTTCTTTTTAGTTTTCCGTACAACTACACGTGCAGAGCACAGTCTGCAAGCCCGTCCCATCCCCTGCATATTTCCATGCTGCAGCAGGAGGAGGAGGAGGAGGCGTGCAGCCCTTTTGTTACCTGTAGAGCACCTGGATGATGGAAGTTAGTAACATGGACTGAGTTCGAGATGTCTTCAGATTGTTGAAAAGGTTTTAAACTAAGCGAAGTGCACGGGGTTGGTAGAGCACTGCAGGAAGCGCACCTATAGTTGTTTTCTGGCAGCAGGGTGCAGGAAATGGGAATTGTTAATTAATGCTGTGTCGTGAAAGTAGGGACGAATAGGAGGCACTTCCTCCAAGAACTCATTCACCTTGCAAGTCCGACCCTCTCTCGAGTTTACTTGGGAGTTCTCTGCCACCTTTCAGCTCCTCGCCCAGCATCTCACCTGTGCCACCGGACCATGGATTTCACACGGCCGAAGGTTTCGAAGTCGCTTCGGATCGACGTCGCGGAAAACAGGCGGCGTACGTGCATCTGGAAGGGTTAGAGGGAAGCTGCCAATGTGAAGGGAAAAAAGTGCGACCACTTCACGTTACGGTGCATGGCCCCTGGACAAAGTGGCAACGATCATGCACAAACCCCTCCGAAAGCGGAGCGTCTACGTGTTGCTGTGTTTTGGCATCATATACCTCTGGCTCGGGTGAGTGTTTGTTTGTCTTACCTGCGATTCGCGGCGTTCACATGCGCAAAAGCTGAGCTTCAAATATATTGCGACACAAACTCTTTACAGGAAAGCATCGAGTGCCCTCTGACCTCAGACTTAAAAACGCGGAAAACATTTTACAGCAGGTGTATTTAAATATAACTACCGTATTTTAATAATTGTATGCATTCACCTGCGTGCGTCGTGCGTAAAAGTTGCGGATGTGGCTTCACGCCACCAGAATAATATGATCGATTCGTGTATTCTCTGTCAGGGGGGATATTAAATTCACCCCAGGAGACTCTTGCTCCTTTGTCGCAGCAGATAATTTGAGCCGCTGTCTCTGCTCCAGATCCAGCTCACCCCTGCATACCTTCATTAATAGCGGCGGACTGAGTTGTATTTCCACATTCCATTGCCCAGTCTAGGTTTTTACCTGTTTTGCAATAGCTCACCTTGACACATTAAACACGGAACGACTTCTTCTATTGCTTCCTTCTCTACAGCAGCGCTTCTCAGGCATGGTCATTATTAGGACCCACATGCGCACATTAGAATCCTTACAGATTATATATCTGCTGTTGTTTTGAGATGTGCATGCACAGGGAGGATAATGATTTAGGTTATGTAGTAATTAAACATTTATGCTGAAAAGTAAAAAACATTTCTACTTTTGATGCTCACCCCCTGAAACTTTAACTACAACCTAAATGCAATATACTTGACGATATCCCATGGGGCCTATAATAATTATAATGATACAGTGAACAGTGTAAACATGACACAGGATGATGCAGTGGAGAAAATCAATATGAACTAGGCCTGCTAAAACTTTTGAGACAATATAATAGATTATTTATTAAAAGTTGCTTGCAGCTTTTACGCACCACTTCATTTGCTTTTTTGAATAGCCTAAACAATTACGCATGAAACAATCAGAGGTTACAGGCGACAAATCCCATTTTCCTTTATACAAAAATTATTTGTAAAATGATAGAGTACGCACAACAACAAGGCTCTAGAACTGATTTCAGAGCTGCCTGCCGCCGCGGCAGTGAATCAAATAGAAAGTGTCAGCCCTCCCTGTGAGAACCTCGTGTTGAGTGAAGCGTGTAAACTGACTTCACGTTCCACAGATGCTCATATCATATGACCGTGTATAGCACCAATAGTGTTTGTGTGTGTGTGTGTGTGTGTGTGTGTGTGTGTGTGTGTGTGTGTGTGTGTGTGGCAGTCATCTCCAAACTGTTTACTAACCCTGAGCAGTTAGTTCATTCCTTCCATCCACCCTTTCTCTACCTCTGCCTACATCTTTCATGGTACCCTCTTCATTCATAGTGGCTGGAGCCTGCAGGTGTTGAGTGAGCGTCACGATGCTGAAGCGATAACACCCCCCCTCCCCTCCCCTCCTCCTCCAAAGCTCTGCTCTAAGCTCCCAAGTATTTTATTTCCCTGCGCATCAGATCCAATCACGGCCAACACAGAGGGGGCTATTTTTATACCTTTCACATTTGCATAGGTTGTTGTGGCAACCGTTCAATCTGAGGAAATGATTGTTCAGTTTTACTGCAGGGTCACAAAATGAGGATTTGACTGTTACAGGCCGTCCAACAGCGCCAGAGCGCAGCAGACAGCGCGCACATTGCAGACGCCTATAGGAATATTATAGTCTCACCACAGGAAATAATAAGGTCATTGAGAGCCATATCCAAGTACCACAAACATGCTTTATCTCTCTGTGGAAATATTATAGGAACACTTGCTACCAGAGGTCTTAATACTGTCCCAAGAATACAGTAATAATGAGCTTTTTCAAAAGGATGTCATAGGAGAATAAGGGGGAAACGTTTCCTCACACAAACTCAGAGACCCATATGGAAATATTACGAGAGTCATTTCTGTCACATTATAAAGAATTATTCATGTTACTATTGCCCCAAGTTGTTGATTCAGAGTGACACAGGCTGAGTTTTTGCACATGTAGCTGCGATTATGATGTGAGGCCAGCCAACGTCTGTTTGTTTATTTTTGGGCTGGATGGTGGAGGGGGGCGGAGGAGGAGTGTGTGTGTGTGTGTGTGCGTGTGTGTGTGTGTGTGTGTGTGTGTGAGGAGGGGTGTATGAATGAAACCTCGCGCACATCCAACTGGGATCGGGATCAGTGTCACCCCATTGTCCCGGTGTGGCAAAGTGGGCGGATATCGTAGTGTCTCCCCCTGCCCAATGGCAGCCGCGGCTCTCATGAGAGCAGGAGAGAGCTCTTCTCTGCCATGCGAAATCCCTAAAACCATCATCATCATCATTCCGGCTCAGGAACCCGCAGTCCTGTGCAACAGCCTGCGCCGCTGAGAGATGACAGAGCCAATCTCAGCGCACACACGGCCCTGGGAGCTCGGAGCTGCTGCGTAGAGCCGCCGCACCAAAAAGACTCGGAGACGCACAGCACCTCTACTTCTTTTTTCTGATTTCAAGCGAAAAGGGACTTAAAGCCGTGAAATTGAGGGATTTTTTTTTTTATCTCTGTCTCTCAGTCCGAACGTGGCCATTTGCTCAATGTCATCATGATCATCTTCTCGTCGCGCAGTGTACTGCTGTCAGTCTACTATCCACAGATCTTCCTCATCCTGACGAGTGGCAGCTACCTGTAAGTCTGAGCCAATTAACGGCTCCTTAATGAACTCCAGAGAGCGGCGCGCTCACCCTCACTAAAAACAAAGACGCACGGGTTTGGTTCCGCTCCTGTGAAGCCTTCTTACTGGATAACGGGCTATTATTTCAATTTCTCCATTGAACGCCGTTTCTGAGATAAACCTCTCATAGTTTTACGCGTCCACAGCTCGGAGAATCAGTTCTACTCATTTACATTGTGCCATACGAGCGCAGGGAAACAGGCGAAACAGTAAAGCAACTTTGACAGTGAAGTGAATGTAATTGTAGAGGATGATTCACACTTTCTCGTGGCATACCTGCGTAAAATCTCATAGATTTACACTGATGAGGACAAACATTAGTGGAAACGTCTCTGGGATAACGATCCACGTGGGAATAAACTAATTAGCTCAAAACCTTTACGCGATTTAATGTGCCGTCTGCCGGCGGACGGGATTCCGTGTGAGTAAAAGCAGTGTTGTTTGGATGAAAGTGTCGCGTTGCAAACATTTAGTGAAGATGAGAAAAATAAAACGACTTGGGAACTGTTACATAGAATCGTTTTGGCCACAGAGTGGCAGAGATGTTCAAGACAATTGGATGCTGAGATTCAGTCTTCTGTGCCTGGTGCGGAGAATTTAACACAGTTCTCCTTTTTACGCATGCGAGCACCGTTAACCTGTCAGAGCGTGTGAAAGATTATCTCCGCGCATGACATCATCCCTGCTTAATTCTCTGTATTCCGATTGTTATCGTTTGAACCCGCGACTTAAAATATCTCCCTGCAACATACAGAGTGATTGACACTGTAATGCGCTGCGGGTTTGAATTAAAGGAGAATTACTCGTGCAGGAGAACACTGGCTTTCTTGAAGCTTCCAAAATAATTACTTACCCCGTGCTCCCTCCTTTTTCTGCACGGAGACCCCAAACCTGATGCTGAAATAGATGTGGTTTTTGGTTTCCAGTTAAAAGTGGGCGACACGACTCAGTGTAGTGATGGCTTGTACATTAAAGCAACATGCCATTGTTTGTTTTGATTATTTATGTGTTTTCTGCTGAGCATTAGCCACAAAATATGTTCTGAGGAGAAATAATTTAATATGGCTTCAAAATAATACAGTATCTCTTTTTTCAGAACTAGTGATGGCACAGAGCAGTGGGCAAAAGGATCTTTCCATCCAGAGCTTTTGGGCCATTGCACACTGGTTAGGCCAGTGTGGATACAGTAGTTTAAAACAGATGTAAAAAGGATTTTATGATACCAAACAGCATTAATTCCCTGCATGCTCCTATGTTTTCAAAAGAGGGAAAATCATATTCACCACTAAAACAACAGGTATTTCCCCCAGTCTTCGAAAAAAAAGAGAGAGAAGTGGCATTTACTCAATTGACTTAGTTAAAGTTGTGTCTGGCATTTATGTGAGTGCATTCCTCGGCAGAAGATGCATGTCCGGGAGCTTAATAGCATGTCAGTTAGGTTCAAAGTGTTCTATGTGATGGAGGAGGTGGCTGTGAGCACACTGTATGTCATGACGTAGACTATATCGTTTCTCTTAAGGCCACACTACCCCGCCATTAAAAATCTGTAAGCTCCCCTCACCACTGACACTGGTTCAGAATAAAGTTTTTCCAAAGAAAGTCATTTATAGTCAGATCTTGCTGCAGGGGCTGAGGTTTGATGTTGGATGGGTTTTCCTGCAGTCATATTACATATTTTGTAATTAATATAACATAGACAGAAAACCAGTGTTTTGTCTAAAAATCCTCTTTAACATTAACAATAAAAAATGGTGTCACCTCAAAGTTTAAAGGAGAAGCTGAAGGTGTAAAAACTGTCTGACACATATTTAAAGCATATACTGCAAAATGCACAGGCCCAAATAACACCTCTTATGTTGTTTGCAGTTTTAGGTTTATGCACTATGTGGTAAAAAATCCTGCCACCTGTTGCTTAGCAATTTCCACAATAACGGTAGCTCCTCTCTGTATCAGTGACCAAACTGCACATGTTCTTTGTATGATACTTTAAATCACACGCCTGGAAGTGTATAAACTCTATGTTTATCATCCAAGCAGGCCACATGGTGTGATATGTGCTAGCTTAGGTCTCTGTTGTCTGTCTGTCTGATGGAAGTGTGTCCATAGGCGAGCTGTCCACAAGCCGCTGGCGTACACACACAGTATGTTACGCTAAGCAAACAGGATCGCATTTGTGCACTTTGATGATGCAGGGATTTAAAAAGCTTAGCTGTGGAATTCTCTGTTTGGTGTCGTCTGATGGTTTGGGTTTGCCGGTGGCATAGACTGTGATTCTGCGAATTAGCAGGTGAATGACGTGAGAAAAAGCCAAGAGGGGAATACAGTGTTTGTGTTTGTGTGTTTGTAAGATTTAAAAACATCAGTGTGCTTTTGTATAAGTTTCTGTGCAGGGAACTGAAATATCTGTGATATAAATGACTCAAATGCATTTTCATTAACTTTAGATTTATATAAACAAACCAGATCTGTTCATCTTTAACACTCATAATGCAAAAAAGTGGATTTCTGCAGTTGTGTGCTCCTCGTTTTCATGAGCCTGACCTTTTGGTTTGTACAGACGTAGATGTCATCGTTGCCACGAACAACCAACACATACAGCAGAGGGTCAGAGGAGTTCAAGCCTGTTTAACAGCTGAGGGAGCAAAGAGGGGTTGAACGCAGCTGCGGGTCTGAGTGTTTATTGTGGACACTGAATGCACCTGATGAATTTCATCTTTTATTAGAGAAGTACTCAGTTGTTGTGCGGCTACAGCCTTCAGTTTACAGTGTAGTGGTGCAAAATGAACTGTCCTCTTTGTACCAATGAGATCTTGATTATAATTCACATTTTAAATAGTCGAAACAGTTCAAACAACAGTGTGTAGTCCTGAGTTTAGAATCCGATACACGTCTCACTGCAGTTAGGATTTATTAAAAAATGATTTGAAATTGAGATTTATGTTTTTATGTCTATATGGAGAAACTCAAACGGAAAAAGGAACATTGCTTTTCAAAGAAAGATTTCTAATCAGCGATGATATCTTAGTTTATAGCCGGGGGATCGCTTACCATCATCACTGTGAGTTAGAATACACAAAAATCAGGGTCTATGTTTCTTTGCGTCTCCCCCTTCACCCATTCTTCCTTTTCAACCCTCCTACGCTGGCGACGCTTTTCGCTGACACACAACTTCCCCAGCTTTAGTTTGCTCCTAACTGTGGTGAATCTTTTGGAGGTCGACGTCATTCTTCAAAGTCGTCGTATATGCTTCTCTATGCTCATTTACGGCTCCCCGTCCCTGACATGTTTAGAAAGCATGTATCGACATGGTTTCAAGGGCTATAAACAGAGAGAGAGTCAATGCTTTGTTTTAGCCGTAATCTGTTTTGGCTTTCTTGGCGGTTACAAAACCATCTTTTAACATATGTTTTGATATTATCACATCGAGCGATCAGATGTAATGAAGTCTCCCTGAGGAGCGCTGAGAAGAGGCTGCGTCGTTTTCTATACAGCACGGTAATACTCCACAAATTAAGACGACCAGTGTTGAAAACCTTACATATTTTCCATGCACAGCAGTCGTAGGATGTGGCTGAACTAAAAGCAGCCTCTCGTGAAATTTATAGGCAACACTTTACACCCTGAATAACTTTCAAAACACACAATCACACAAATCTTAAGGGATAATATCTTTGCCTGACATTTGGTTGAAAAGCCTGCGCCTGCATCACAAAGCACCGAGCAAGTGTATACGCTGCATTTGCTACTATTCATTCCACTACGTTACCTAACAACACACAAACCCCAACTCATTACTCAAAGTCCCACCATCCAAACTGATGTGGAATGGCGTTTTCAGTCGTCAGAAGGGCATCATGTTTTCTCCCTCTGAGCTGCTTTAGCAAGTTTCCCTGTGTGTATTTTTATGTTTTATACTGGATTCAGTTTTCAGATTTTACTTTTACCTCTAATCCATTACATAGTAATACATTCATGCAGTGCAGCCTTCACTTCATTTCGGAACGTGCATCAATCACAAGTTGAATCAAATCCTGTTCTGGAGAGTCTCATATAAATGAGTCAGTCTGACCATCCTCTGGAACGTCTAACTGAGTTTGTGAGTGTCTGTGCAACTATGCATGGCTGTACTGTTTGTGTGTTGAAACATACATGTGCTTGTGTCTGCATTATGGTCCTGTACGAATGCTCACGTGCATGTGTGGTGGTGTGTTTTTCTCTCGCTCTTTGCAGGGCCCTGTCCTCGGTGGTGGCTCTGGGTGCCAACATCATCTGCAACAAGATTCCCGGGCTGGCACCTCGCCAGCGGGCCATCTGCCAGAGCCGCCCGGACGCCATCATTGTTGTGGGTGAAGGCGCCCAGATGGGCATCAATGAGTGTCAATACCAATTCCGATACGGACGCTGGAACTGTTCGGCGCTGGGAGAAAGGACAGTCTTCGGTCAGGAGCTGCGAGTAGGTCAGTCTGGGTTCTGTCACAAAAGGGAAAGGTCACAGTGGGTGGGTGTGTGCGCTCCTGTGTGGCTGTCTGTGTGAGAACCTTTTACAGGTTTAGCTGGAGTGAATATATTCCTGCTGATGTTTTTTCTGCTCCCTACTGACTTCTTTAATGAACAAGTTTCTTTTTTTTTTTCGTCAGAAGTAGGATTGGATGTAGGCTTATGTTCATTCTCAGGTTGGTTTTGAGTTGTTACTTTGATTAAGGGTTAGCTCTGCTGGATAGAGCATTACACACATATGTTGTGTAGCAGGACTTTGCGTAAACTCTGGGACATTAAAGCTGGATTAACCTGGACCAGTCAACACACAGCGGGCCCTTAAGCAAATTTGCTCTAACAACGTTATTTTATGTGGTTTTAATATCCATCCATTATCTATAGGCTACAATTTATACCTCGAGAGTTAGGGGTTAACTGGAGCTAATCTTAGCTGACATTGGGTGAGAGATGAGGCACCTCCTGGACAGGTCACGAGCATATCGCAGGGACAACTTACATCCACATTCACACCAATTAACGTCTTTAAACTGTGGGAAGAAGCTGGAGTACCCGGAGAAAACCCACACAACAACGGGTGCGAGACTCTTTTATACACTATGGGATCATGCTTTTGTTACTTTTAAGCTTCTACCAGGGAAATTTAAAGCAACACTATGCAACATCTTTTGAGCAACAGCGCCCTCTATAGCCAAACTTGGTGATTCATTGTCTTGAGCTCTGTGTGCGAGCAATTAAGGGGTTTTCTTGTAGAAAAAAGAACAAAGCCTATCGAAGAGTTCAGCAGAACTCTGACTGTGTAGTCCCACTAACTGAACTGAAACTCAGCTGAACGTTGTAGATTACCCATGATCCCCTGCTTTCTGAATCTGAAAAGTGGCATCTATAAGAAATGCACCAAACTCTGTTTAGAATTCTTGATCTTTTAAAGTTTTCCTTGCTGAATATTGGAGATATGTGCTGGTTTCTGACTTTCAATGAATATGTCTTTTTAATTGACCGATATTTCGACATTATTCTTGAACTTGCTGGTCTGATTCTTGCAATTTAGACAACGTCAGTTTTGAACTTCTCACAGGAGAGAATTATAAAGTTATAAAGAGCAAGAACAGATATTGAGGGTGAGGAGCAGGAATGAAAGCAACACCATTCTCCCTATTAGATCAAAATATCAAACTAATTTTGAAGCTGCAATTTAATGTAAAAAGTTACACAGTGTAGTTAAACTAAATAGCAATATGACAACTGGTGAAGATAAGTGTTGTAATGTTGTGTAACTGATGTCGCCATTGCTTTTTAATGATAAATATCAGTGATAGAGCTTTTGTTTGTGTTTGTGCAATGGACTTGACCCATAATCAATCCAACTAGAAAGTTGTGTGTGTCTGATGCACAGCTGAGCGTAGATAGTTCTTATGAAGCCTGCCATCACTGAGAGTCATTTGGTAATGATGATGACAGTGATAAATCCAGTCACTCTTGTGTTGAAAAGGGAAAAGAGGTTACACAACACATGTTCTGATCCATCCTATTGTCTCAACTTGAAGAAACAGTACATGAAGAGTATCAAAAAAATGTGGTACCAGCCCCCGACCCTCTGAACCCCATGAAATACAGCTCCTCACAAGCCAAACCCCAAACTGCACACATCACACAGTCAAAACTCAAACCAGCAACACACGGCCTCTTTCACTCTCTATTGTATAACCATTTGCATTGGCATTGCTCTGGAAGATTTCATACACTGTGGATTTCAGCCCATCATAGTAGTCTTCATTTCTATTGACAATGTTGTGTTTCTGCAGTGTGCTCTGGTTACTGTTGATGTAGGTTCCACAGTGAGCCTGCTGGTTAGGAGCATGCCGACCATCGATGCTTATGCCAAAGTTATGGAAAAGCTACCCAACGGCACTGGAGCCCTAATGGGGAAAATGTATGGTTGAAAAATGATATCGCAAACGAGGAGACATCTAATGGTGTTATTGCAGTAGAATGCTTGTCGAACTAAGATAGATGGACACATCTGTTGTTTATCGGGCTAAATTGGTTGTGTCCATGCTTGGCTGGCTCACGACTGCATGTACGTATACATACAGGAGAAGACCTAAAGCAGACAAACATTTACATTTACGGAGCTTTTTGTTTTGAGAAACTCGGCGTTCTGCAATCCTCCTTTGCGTCGCTTTTGTTTAACAGGGGCTTTTATACATTTCCTTTCTTTTCAGAGATGTTGGCATTATGTTGTGGCTGCACTATGCATTTAATTCAGTTGCTCTGTTAACAATCACTCCTCTGAAGGAGCAGCTGAATTAGCTCCAGCCCTGGCTCCAAAGGATTATTTTCTTTGTTGTGAATGTGGCACTTTCTTTTGTAATGCAGCTCATGTTGTTTTCCTCAACACTCAACATGTTCTTTTTTCTGTGCTTTCATGTCTGTTTAAACAGTGCACTTGCACTGTCTCATTGTAAGCATTTGTGTATTCTTACTTTGTAGTGTGTAAATCCACATATAGTAATTCTATCTCATGGTGTCCTTGTTTTTTTTATGTGGCTTTCTAAGCATCGTAACAAATCTTTGTGGATTTCATGTATGAGCTCAATCAGGTTGAGACTATTGGAGTCTTCAACTTTTTGGTGAGCAATGCGACATTTAAATCCATTTCAGAAATGGCGTCATCTGAATTTCATGCTCTCGTATCCTTTTCTTGCTTGGTTTCCATAGTAGATCTGCACAAATAAATGGCCATGCTGAGAACGTCACTGTTTGTGTCCAGTTCTGGTCGGAGAACGATGACTACTGGGCCTGCCATGATTGTCCAATAATGATGGGACTCGGTGGACTTCTCAATAAAATGTCAGATGACGTCCTCTTTTTAGCCCAACGTGGAACTCAGGGTTCCCATGGCAGATTTACAAAGACCTTTTTAAATTTCATTTTTTTTCGTATTTTTCTCCATGAAGATCACCACAGATATTTCCATCTCCTGTCAAATGTGAGTCACACACACACAGGTAATATACAGTAAGAGAAAAGTTATACAGCTCAGATTAACATGAAATATATGTTTAATCCAAACAGAAAATCTGGCAGGAGAAGTTGTTTGAATATTATCTGGACTACAGATTATTATCTATTATTATTTTATGCCTCCATCTGTGTTTGACTTGATACTCTCACGCTGCACGCTGACTATTCTTGAAAATGGTAAGAAATGTTGCCTCTTCTTTGTGCATCTTCTTCAAGTGAATGGGTTTATTCCTTCTCTCTATGAGGATGTAAAGGAGAAAATGTTGCATTATTTGTGCATCTGACAGTGTTTGGGATATTTGGTTAAACCCATGGTTGCACTGAGGTGCAGTAGATACATAGGCTTGTGCAGATTCTAAACACATCAATAACAATAATCTTTTTACTAATACACACCCTAATATAATTGTCTAAGAATTGTGTTCCGATAAATTCCGATGAAGATTAAGCCAGATGTTCAGAGATGAAGTTGTATTGAGTTTAACTAAACTGAGACAAATGAAATAGGACAAACCCCCACCTTGCACAGGTTAGTTATGTCATGAGTGAGTTATGGATTTGTTGCTTGATAATATAAAGTTGTGAGACTGGATTACTGATCTGATGGCTAAAATAACTACACATTTTAGGACTTGACAGCATATTTAGAGGGATACCGCACAGACTCAAAAGCTTGTGAGCGATGATGAGAGCGTGATCAGTTATGAGGTGGCAAAAAGGTCTTGATTGATGCAGAGATAGTATCCTTAGTCAGAGATTAAATACATTACCACTGTAATCATAGTCATGACTTAATCCACTTATTTAGCAGAGAAAATATGCACACAATATTGCAGTGGAGTAAGTGGGTAATTTTCAGACTTGTTTGAAACCAGTAACTTGCTTGTGGACTTGCTTTTAAAGCTGGTTCTAGTGATATTGCCTCAAATGTTCATGAGAAAAGCAATGATAACCAATAATTTCCCAAACATTTTTTAAAATGTTATCATTGTTTGACTGTACTCACAGTGGCTGGCATATCCAGATGTTTCAGATGTTACCATCTTTTATGACTGCTGGTTCACATGTTCAGGTTTCCCCCTGGGTTTAATGCTCAGCACAAAAAAAATACACGCAGGTAGAGATATATGTTGTTCTTGTGTCTCAAGGAAACCTCTGTCTTAAAACCAGCCTGGTGTTAGCTGTACCACCCACCTTCACTTACCAGAGCAGTGATCAACAGTGATCTACAGGCTCAGAGTCCTCCTTGTATGCATGTTTTTAGTTTTTGGAAGCGATTAGGGTAGAAGTCAACTGATCTGAACTTTTTTTGGATACAAATGCACATTGAAAGAGTTGAATGGGGTCATCCTGCAACACCCAACAGATCTGCAGTCACTCAAGAGACAACTCTGTGTCTCTAGCACAGTCTTAGAAAGTTTTGCTGAGGTTTTCTGAATAAACCTCAAACGTAGGGTTGTTAAGTTGTTTCTAAAAGACTTTTTGTCTTATTTACTGAAATCCTCTTCACCTGCCAGTGTGAAACTTTGGAAAAGTGGCTGATTTAGCATTTTCTTCACCTCACCGCCAAGCTGCCATCGGCTCATACACGACATCCTCGGTCGTGATAGTTTCCAGTGTTTGTCTTTCATGATTGAAGATGTATCCACGTTGTTTGACCACGTCTTTATATATTATGGAATTCTTCTGCATGGCATATGAAATCATGGAATACAGACCTTCAACAAAATGTTCCAATCCCTTCTCCGAATCTACAGATTCCCACATCATCATAATCAAGTACAGGGGAAAAGCTACTGCCGTTCCGCTCCTATTTAAGTTTTTGATTCAAATCCCCCAAATTATGAACACTAAACCTTTCCCCCTGCTCTATGATCCACTCTTAGTTTTATACTAGAGGGAGGAGATGCTGGCATTTTTTTTTCTTGCGAGAGCT